CTTCCTTCCTTCCTTCCTTCCTTCCTTCCTTCCTTCCTTCCTTCCTTCCTCTCTCTTTTGGTTTGTCTTTTATTTTGCAAAAAATTAATATATATATATATATATATATTTTAAAAATATTATTTATTATCATTTAGTAATTATTGTTCCAATAAACTGCATTGGTAGCCTTTGTATCATGAGAAGTGGTATTTATATTCTGAAAGAGAGAAATAAATAATTGTAATATTCAACCCTTACTTGGTCTTTTTCTATGACAGCTGAATTGTGAGATACTTTACCTTATCTATCTCAATCTGGTGCCCCTCAAATGTACAAGTCCCATAATTTCTAGTCAACATCAACACCATTTTCACTAATAGTAAATAGTTATAAGTAGCTTGTGTTTAAGCAAGATGAAACTGCTGGAAATTATCTGAAGATGGAATATATACAGCTCTTGGCTTTTAATATTTATCTTTTAACAAGTCTGTATGATGTAGGATCTTAAGTTATTTGAAGTGGTAGCAACTTATGATGTTCTAAACTGATGCCATGGTCTTTTATGAACCCAGGGCTTATCAGAGTGGCTTTTCCACTACAATTTACTTTCCCTAGAATCCAAACAGATATCTGAAAATAATAACAAAAAAATGTTGTGCTGGTGGTGTTGAATTACACTTGGTTATGCATGTCAATACAGAAATTCCTTCTATAAAATGGTTGGAAGTTTGGTTTTGGTTTTGTTGTTTTGATAGGCTCTTGAAACATTAAGCATACTTCTGTAGGTTATTTCTGTGATTAAAAATGAGATGCGGAAAGATTCAAACATAAACCTTCCATGGAAGAAAGTAGCAAGCAGCTTACATTTGGGGGAATATCCTTTAATTGGCCTTTGTATCCTAGCCTTTTTCTATGGAAAATTGTTGATTGCTCTAGTGGTTTTGATTTCTTGCTGTTTTTCTTTTTTTCTTTTTCCTCAGTGAGATTTATTTTTAAATGCCTGACTTTTCTATAACTTAAATTAAATTAGAAATGTATTTATGCACACTGAAGGACATCATTTTAAAATTAAATCTTGTTTTAGAAATAATTCAGTTGTCTAAATAATAGTTGAACAAATTGTGAGCCTGCATTGAATAGTAGCATGATTATATAAATTGCTCCTGTAACTTGGTTTGATTTTCCCCCTTCCTTTTTTCTTCCTTCCAGCCCTTGGAAGTTTGAGCACATTGGCATTGGTTTTCTCTCCCTACTCTTAAGGGATGACAGAGTGCTACCTGTGAGAGCCATAAATTTTTTTGTGGAATGTCTCAATCATGATGCCTTGGTGGTTCGTAAGGTAAAAGGTTAACTGGTTTAGTTATGGTAAAACCTGTTTGCAGATATTGATCCCATTATTCATTCCTTAGGGTGGATTCACATGTGCTTTCTTCACATGTCAAAGTGGTATTTGCTTTTGATCTTATGAATGAGTTTCAATGCAATTTCAACGAGTTTGAATTCAATTCAATGCTTCCAGAGTACCATTTTCTTTCTAAGTAGACTGCCTGAGATGTGCAGGCTGGCAGAGTTGCCCAGTTCACACAGGGAAAGTCTTCACTGAAATACTACCCATTATGCTAGTGCAATGTCATACTATTTGTCTACATAGCTTGCTATCTATGATAGACATTAGTTTTCTAATCTTAGGCAAAAGACTGGTTTACCATCAGCTACGTAATCCTGCAGCTTTCCATACGTGCAATGAATAGGCTTTACCTATTTACCAAGCTGAAAACCCTTCCTTAAAGGACTTTTAATCCATCTATTAATATCTAAGGCAACCTACTTTAAAACTTTTAACATATTTAATTCCACATATTTAGAAATATTTTTAAGAATATAAAGACTTAAATGCTTAATATATAAATATCTGTAGAGAACCTAACTCTTTACATTGTTGTAACCTAAAGAACCTAAAGGAAGTAAAAAACATGTATCCCAATTAATTTTATATCCTGAGTACTTGCCAAATTGTTGAACCTCACATATAAAGGTTTTTTTGGAGGAAAATGATGAGAAGAGTAGGCCACTATATTTCTCCTTTCAATTATTTTAAATTAAAATGAGCCAGTTCTCTTTTTTCTGTGTAGATGGCAATCTCTGCTGTGGCTGGCATCCTTAAGCAGTTGAAAAGACCCCACAAAAAGGTGCTCATCTGTCCTTTCCAAATCAGTAAGTGCACTAAAGAAAAACAGCTACCATTCTGTACTGAAATTTTTAAATTAGTTTGTGTTAAGGGCAAAATATGTACTATGTATCTGTTAACTTGCAGTCTTCTGCATTCTATCATGGTCTGTCCCCAGATTCTTCTGCCTGATGTTTCAACTGTGCGATTTCTTTTTTAACTGGTCACCATGTCCACTGCAAGTTTAGTTGATTTTCATAGTTAATAACATTCAATCTTCCGTTGGCCCCAAAATACCGAAGTGCTGCATCTTGAAGTATAGTATATCAATAGAAGAGAATAGTGTATCTATGTAATTGCAGAGAGGTATTAAATAGTGGAGTCCTTGGTGCTTTCTGAGCTTCGTTGTTTGCTTGCAGAGGTTTCAGTACCCAATTAGGTAACATCATCAGTGCGAATGAGTGTGGGTTTGCTCCCTGTTTATATACAGTACCTTGCCCTGCCAGTTTTGATGGGGGTGTGGTTTTCTTCTTGGTAGTTCCTGGATTAGGGCCTTGTTTTCTGTTTGATTGTTTGTCTGGTGTTAATCCCTGCTTATCTGGGTGTTGGCTGCTGGAGTTTTACACAATTGAAAGCTAATATATAATTAGAAAAGATATACAAACAAGAAGGAAGAGAAAAAGAAAGAGAATTGTAAATTGTTTATTGTAGCCTGCTGTACCTCATGTCTTAAGTAATTTGCTAAGCATTCATGTGTGAATCTCCAGTTCAGATGTTGTGTGACAGAATTGTTAAAGGATTAATCCACTGCTTGTCAGATAACTGACTTTCAAGGTCCTGCAATCTATTTTCTAAACTGATAACATATTTTTATAATTTTAGTTCTGGAAAATAAAATGCTGATGAAAATAAAAGCTAAGAACTTTTTATATGACTGAAATCATTCTTTGATTGTTGTCCTTGCCTAGAGAAATGGCTACTACAATTTTTCTTACTAATTATCTGCTAAAATCAGAGCTTCCCCAGCTTTCTAAGATGTTTATCCAATTTGAGGGGATGGTAGGGAGGACAAACTAGCTTAGAGCAGCTAACTGGTAGGAAAATTGCTATTTTAATGTGTGTTTTATAATGGTACTTATTTTAGTTTTAAGAATATTGGTTAACATATTTGGTTCATAGTGCAGCTGTACTAGTTATGTTGCTATTTGAAACAGATGCTTCATGATTTTTGTTTTTAGAAAATATAATGATTCAGAGTTGTGTGATTTACTGGGGGAAATGCTGGCAGTTCTAGGTACTGAATGAAAATTGAAATATCAGCAGCTACTGATAAATTTAAGAAGAAATGCATTTTTCTTTTTTACAAACAGGTGGAGCCCCACGGCCTTCTAATATCCAGGCAGGTGACAGATCTGACAACCAATGGCTGCATTATGAGAGTGCTAATTTACCAAAGACTAGAGAAACTTGGGAGGCCTGCCATTTTGTGGAAAAAACACATTGGGGATACTACACGTGGCCTCAGTAAGTGCTGGCTTCTCTCTTTCTGCCCTCTTCCATAAATGAAAAGTAGTGGAGTTTCCATCCAATTACCTTACTGATATAATCTCTGTCCTGCTTATGCTTGGTTTGCTAGAGCAGTCAGTTATTCCTTCCATATATTAAATCCTTTAGTGTTTGTAATTCTGGTAATATAAAGGTTAGAAAGATGTGAGTCTAAGTTTGTACTTGCTCTTGCACAATTCTAAATACAGAATTGTGACTCTGAAACAGTGAACTAGGAAGTGGTATAATTACTTTTTATTTTTGCCATTCAATATTGTTTTAAGTTGTCTCACTTTTTTCCTCTTACAATTTCTAGAAATATGGAAATCTATGCTTCTGCAGAAGAGCAACCAAAACTTGGGAGGAGTAGAAAGGAACTTTCAGAGGTGATGTTATATTTTAAAACTCTGCTGGCAATCTATCTTGGTCTAATTCAATTTGAGCATATACTTTTTTTCTTTCATTTTATAACAGTGGTTAATATGAGAGGGCCTTAGATTATTCAAAGTTATCTGAATTCCACAGTTATTGTAATTCAAATACAAATATTAATAATTTGTTAATAGAATCAGTTATGTGCTTGGATTGCACAGCCCCACTGCGTATATCAAAATGCAATATAGAGAAATTCTTATATGAGTCATCACAAATGTATGTTCTGACTCTTTATCATATTACCTCAGATATAGTGATATTTTCTTTTTGAATGGAGTCTGTTCACACATTCAACAGACAGTTAGAAAGTGTTCAGTAACAATGTTTGGAGAAATCATGTGATGATCTTGAATACCTGTGTCAGGACTCTACATTAGGAAAAATGAAATTGCTTTTTGTTCTTTAAGAGAAGAGTTAAAGATATTAAGCACTGGTATGATATTAAATCATTTATCCATTTACCAAAGCAGTGATTTCTTTGAAGCAGGTGTCTTCCAGTTACCTGAATTCCCAAGCCAGGAATTGTACTTGTTATCTTTTATATATGGAAAGCTTTTGATTTGTCCTGAGCAAAACCTTTCTCCAAGGTTTTTTTTGGATATGTGTGTTCAGTTTAGCATAATATCACACTAAATTCTGTAGCATGTTGATAAGTTACTTGTCAGAGCAGAAATTCTTTGAATTAGGTATAAGAAGATGTGGTATGACAATACTCATTCATTCAATTTTAGCTTTCTATAGAAAATGGTAGCATGAGGAGTTCTAAGGCTGAGAATTGAAGAACACTTTGTTCTTGCCAAGAATGTGCCAGTTACACATTTTTTCAGGTCTTCTGATCTGAAGATTAAAGTATCTCATTGTTTAGACCATATATTAAGTAGATTTTTTCCCAATGCAGATATGCTAAGCAATACTTTTTTAGTTCTGTTACACTGTTGTTTATTTTACTTTACAGGCGGAGCAAGTCATTTATGATCATTTTTCTGATCCTAATTTTGTTGAGCAGTTAATCAAGTTTCTTTCTTTAGAAGACAGAAAAGGAAAAGATAAATTTAATCCTCGTAGATTTTGCCTCTTCAAGGTAATTCATTAAGTAATATTTTGCTTGCTTCTCTAGAAAACATGTTGAGCCATGTGTGAAGCTCTTCAGCAAAATAACTATGCAGTTAAGCCTTTGTGATTGTGATCACATATATTACTCTGATTCTGAAGTTCATCAAAGTTTCATCAACCATAATTTATGAAATTGGAAATAAAAATTCTGGCTCAAGTGCTCTTCTTTACATATTGTTCTTTCTGGCTGGTATATAGCCAGTGTTTTCCATTATGTCAGGACTGGGGAAATTTAATTTAATGGCAGATAAGACAGGATAATAAGAAAGTGTGGTGAAGTGCCACGCTATTGGAACCAATCCATCATTTTCGGTGCATTGCCTTCTATAAGACCTTCATAAGAAGAAAGCCATTTAGAATGGTTGTAAAACTGTAACATAAAAAGTACCTTCTCACATATAACATACACTCACACTTATTTGTTAACTTACACCACACTCCATTTAGTTTGTGTTAAGGCAGTGGGATTTCTGATACAGTTTCATTGCCTTATAAATTTTCTCACAGCGTAATAATCTAATTTTCAAACTTGTGTGGAATTGTGAAGATGTGGTTTCAAGGACTATAATTCAGGAACAATAGCAAAATGCACCACTTATATCCAAAACTGTAATTTTCTTAATCGTGGTTTGCATATCATTTAATTTTGAAAATGATAGCCCAATTAGTGTTTATAGTAAATTGTATTACAAAGGAATAAAATATATGCATAACACTTGTGGCTTGGAAAAATTCCTTCCCTTCTAGGTATTGTTGATATTCAGCATTTTTAAAACATATTTTATCATTTTAGAACAATTGAATTAGGTGTGTATAAGTCCTTTTTGTAAAGGTAATAAGTATTCAGGCTTAAAGTCAAATGTGTATCTTATTTCACTAGGGTCTATTTAGAAACTTTGATGATACCTTCTTGCCTGTATTGAAACCACACTTAGAACGTCTTGCTGAAGATTCCCATGAAAGTCCGCAACGCTGTGTAGCTGAAATTATAGCTGGTTTGATAAGAGGGTCTAAACACTGGACATTTGAAAAGGTAGAGTACATATCTAGGAATTTTGCAAATATATATGATTCAAATCTCTGAAGAAAAGTATAAGGTTTTCCTTTGTCTGGTTACAGATTGGTTTTGGGGATATTCTAAATAAATAAATACATCATATTCATATATATAGAGAGAGAGAGGCAGAGACAGAGAGAGACAGAGAGAGAGAGAAAGAGAGAATAATTAGGAGCCAGTTCGGTGTAGAGATAGAATAGAACAGAACAGAACAGAACAGAACAGAATAGCTTTATTGGCCAAGTATGTATACA